CAAGGCAGTTATGGCCTGCTTGATGTTGGAGGGTACGAGATCAATTTTCGACAGGTGTCTGCACGTCAGCATTGGAAATGTATTGATACAGCTTTCAATTCTAGGGTTATAGCATTGCGAGAAATGCTGACTGAATTGTTCGCAAATAATATCGGGGTCATCAATAATTCTTCCGTTAACTATGAAGAATTTGGTCACGCCAGGAGAATTTGACTTCACACGCGATTTAAATAGCCGAAGTATTGATAATTCTAGGTTCTTATTACCTAGGGCCTTCTTTTCTATATTCATAAAATACTTGCGTTTAGATGAAGCGCTCTTGTCAATTAACTTAAGTATACTCTGTAGTGTATACAAGTCATTATGCTTGTGGTAACGGTGTTTTAATTTCCTCAGCTTTCTTTTAAAAGTTTTATAAATATTCTGGCCCCTATTGGCGTTATAGGCCACATGGCTAATAATTGGAGCAGTGCAGTCGAGGCAGTGTATCAAGTTGTGGTATAGATCAGAGATCGCAATGTCAATATTATTTGTGGTAAAATGAGTTTCCCATGGTAAACAACAAATAAGACTTTCAGTCCGTTTCCAGGTTTGTTGATCGAAATTGGACGATCCCTACCTGTAGATGTGTCGCAAAGTAAGGTTTCCTTACTTGTTCCCATCTGCTTAATACTTAGTTTTAGAGTTGTCGAGGATAACTCATGCTGAAGATCAATGTCTTCTTTTTGAAGCTGAGCGAGTTTAAGAAGGTTGATTCCTTGGAAACTGTTTAAGGAACTTATTCGAGACAAGGCGTCTGCGACTACATTGTTTGCTCCAGAAATGTGTTGTATTTCTGAAGTAAACTGGGAAATGCAGTCGAGTTGTTGAGACTCTCGCGGTGAGTACTTGTCTGAAGATGAACTTAAAGAGAAGGTAAGAGGTTTGTGATCGGTAAAAAGCAAGAATTCTCTTCATTCGATGGAATGTTGGAAATGCCGTACAGCACAATACATAGCTAGGAGTTCCCTACCGAAAGTGCTGTACCTAGATTCCGCGTCTAGCAACCGTCTCGAGAAAAATCCTAAAGGTTGCCACGAGTTGTTAACCCATTGTTGTATGACTCCTCCGATTGCTGAGTCGGATGCGTCTACGGCGATACTAATGAGTGTCCTGATGAGCAAGCAAGGTTGCTTTAGCGATGTGTTCCTTAACTGTGGAAAATGCTTTACGGGCTGTGTCGTCTAAACTAATTGATTTTGCATTTCCACGAAGCTGGTCGGTTAACGGTTTCATAAGGGATGCGCATTTGGGTATGAACCGTCTATAGAAACTTACAAATCCGTTGAAAGTTCATAAGTGCTTGATCGTTGTCGGTTCTGGGTAATCCAGAATGGCAGTCACTTTGCTTCTAAGGGGTCGGATGCCTTGGGCTTCAATGATGTGTCCTAAGAAGTCTAAGGAGTTGGTTCCGATTTGGCATTTCTGTATGTTGACAGTAATGCCATGCCTATAGAGTCGATCGAAAACAATGTCCAGACGCTTGAGATGTGATTCTCTGTCCAGACTTGCTATTAGACAGTCATCAACATACGCATGTACGAAGTTGAGACCTCGAAAGACGTCGTCTATAAACCTTTGGAAGGTTTGAGCCGCGTTTCTTAAACCGAAAGGCATTCTCAAGAATTCTTAAAGAGTGATTATGGCGGTTTTAGGAACGTCGTCAGGTGCCATCGGGATTTGATTATAAGCTTTAACCAAGTCGTTTTTTGAAAAGACAGTTGTACCTTTCAAGCTAGCTGTCAAATCGTGAATATGAGGCAACGGGTAACGATCGGGAATGGTTTTTTCGTTCAGACGCCGATAATCACCAGTTGGCCGCCAATCGTTGCTGTCCTGTTTAGAGACCACGTGCAATGGGGATGACCATGGACTATTTGATGGTCGAATTATACATAAGTCTATCATATGGTCGAATTCGTTTTTGACTAACCTAAGCTTTACGGGAGCGAGTCGGCGGGCTTTCGAGAATACAGGTGGTCCTGTAGTCGAGATGTGATGTGTAACATTGCTGGTTACTCAAGGCAATTTCGATTGCGATTGGTATATCCCGGGGTATTTGTCGAGTACTGATTGGTACAATGGGTCTATGGTGTGCTTAATCGTGACTGGAGATAACCTGCAACCGGAACAAGGAGTTACGCAAACAGATAACTTAGTGTTTCCGTCTATTAACCTTCGTGAGCGTGTGTCGATGAGTAGATTGTGGTATTGTAACAGGTCGATACCAATGATTGGCATAGAGACATCTGCAACCACGAAAATCCAGTGTATGGGTTTGCATAAACCCTCGCTAAGGTAGACGTACCTTTTACCGTAAGTAGCGATCGGCTTTCGGTTTGCCGCCTGTAAACTTAAAACAGACTCACGAAGTCTGTCGTTGGAGTTCGCGGGAAGAACGCTAACTTCTGCGCCAGTGACGACGAGGTAGCGAACTTTCGTAGTCACATCCGTGACGTATAACAGACGGCTGTATTCGCCGGCTACGGTTGCCGTTAACGCGTGCCGGCTGGGAAATTTCCCGAAATCTTATTCGTGTCAGTCGCCTTAGACTTCGGGTAATTGCAGGGCTTCCTGCAATTCCTAGAGGATTTACCGTACTGGTTGTGATATCAGCACCAGTCGGGGCTGTCTGTCACTCGTGGTCAAGAGGCAGATCGCTCATGTGAAACGCTCCTACGTGGAGTTTTTGACCGACTACGGTCATTACGAACTCTAAGATATCGTGTAAGTGTGTGACATAGTTCGGCTATGTCAGTCGGGGTCGATTGTGTTTTTTCCTTGACGGAAAAAACCTCGACGCTAGTGGATTTGGTGATTTCTAGGATTCGGTCGGCAGATGCAGCTAGTTAGCATACAGAGTTGTTTTGGAACGGGATGAGAACCGCCTGCACTTGTTTTTGGATTTTGGATAAGAAAAGTCCTTTGAATAGGCCTTCGTCGAAGGTTCTTTGACCTATCACGTCTCTCATCCTAAGCAACATATCTGTAGCAGAACCATGTTGCAGGTCGATGTTATGGAGGAGTTGGTCTAACCGTTGTCGGTCGTTTAGGTCTCCACGTTTGAGAATCGAACATTTGAGAGTTTTGTAAGGTTCGGGAACATCACTAGTAAACATACTAGGTGTTAAACTCGCGCGGTAACGCCTTAACTACCGCGAGGAAACGTGTGCGCGAGTCCGTGATTCCGTGCATGCAAAAATCAGCTTCTGCATAGCAGAACCAGGACTCGATATTGTCTGGCCAAAATGGCGTTAACTGAATCGAAATAGGGGGAAACGTGATCTGGTACGGATGCATGACCGAAAGCCTTCAGCTAAACAAGTCCACTTAAACAACGTGGTCAGCATCCGAAGTCGAACACTTAATGAGCTATTGATATTGGGGAATTATTTACAGCTACATGTTATTCTATCCTTTCTGGATAGATCAAGTAAGATTGCGTTTGAGCGGCTGTTCTATTACATGGTGTTTCACATTCTGGGAAAGTGCTCTAATTTGCAACCAGAACGCAAGATCGCAGTCAAAAATAAATCCTCACAATTAAAGAGCGAGCAGTCAATATGGCAGCCGCCAGAATAATAACAATTAAAACAAATTAAATACAGTTCAGTAAGAAACATAGTAACTCAATGAAAACGATAGAAAAACCGAGAAAATTAAACGTTACAGTCTCAATTGGCATCAAAAAAGTTAACAATATATACAAATAAAGAAACCATGAAGAAGGAATTGCAAATGTATACATGGAGGGATTTTCACCTTCAAAATGGATTTTATAATCAGTATCAAATGACAGGATGTACCTATAATTGTCTTGTTGTAAACAGTACTCTACGTGTTCTAACACTCTTAGAATTTCGTCTAGTTATTTGATGTTAACAAACAAACTGCAGGCATAAAATAAACGGATTCAAAAACTTTAATTAGTACTATGAAATATGAGAAAAATCCATTTACAACGTTCATAAGACTGTTAGCAATTCAGTGTTTGCATCCAATAATGACATCACTGGTAAGCACTATTTAGATATTACCCGTCAAAGTGCACTAAAAATTTGTTTATGATTTGGTCATTGGTTTCGGATTCTGTTAACAGAGATTTATTTCAATGGTTGAGATCATTAGTCAACTGAAGCTAGACCACCATGGAAAACCTGGAACCACTGAACGGACGTTTTGTGCCATCGTGGGGCTCCTCGTTAGTGCTCATCCACGATCTCGCCCCACGAAATTCTAACCCAGGACCCATCAGTCTCGCGCGAATGCTTAACCTCTAGACCTTATAACAGACACATCATAAACTGGTATTAACCAAATGTTTGAGTTACCATACTCAAATTAAACACGCATAGCTTTACTTATGAATAATACTTGGCTAATTTATGTGGCATCCATAGTAATGTTATAAACGATTCCTGTTACTGTTCAGAGAGCGGGCAGAAAAGGCTATCAACGTCAATTGTTACTCATATAATTTTTCTTCCTCAGACACGTTGCATAATGTGTCAGTTCAGTCAAAAACGATGGTTATTACAATGGTTAAAACTGTTTATGGCTATATATCAGTGACTTATATAATATTCGAAAATAGCTTGATGCTTGACTGCTTCAATCTACATTTTAAAAACAAATAACAACAACCATACTCATCACCACCATAAATATGAAGGTGAATCAAATGTAAAAAGTCTTAGAGCTTATTTTTGTCCAAAACTCTTATTGCGGTCTATTTTTGACTTGACAAACAGTTAATTTCAATTGCTTGAGCTTGTATTGTTACAAATAACCACATTAGAGTGACTAAACTCTTACACAGTTTGCGAGCGACAACCATCTCAAACTACTAATAAGCTGGAATGAAAGCTATGTGACGGGCACAAAAATTACAAAAGTTGACGTATGACGGTGAAAACGCTGTTCATAGCTGATAGATAAAGACATGTAGCATGTGCACAAGAATGCGTAGCTTGACTTCTTCACAATCCCTTTATGAAACCAAGCTAGAGAAAGCTTTATCCGCGCTCAAACTGAACAAAGACCTTGAACTTGTCCGCGAGATCGTTTACTACCGGTCAGTCTCGAGGTAGGATGTTATTCCGTTCTTTGCATCATTATTTCGAACTATATCTAACTTTTCATTGGAGTTGTTCTTAGTTTCTTTCTTTTATCTTAATCTGGATAATATGTGTTGCTGGTTTTTGGTAATCGTAACACCTTGAGTCTTTATACATTGATGTGTCCTTAATTATCTTCTACCAATCCATGTTGCCATTTGTGACTCTAAAGTAACAGCTCTTTTTATTCACTGTTTTTGAAGACAGAACAAGCTTTGTGTGAATGAGCTTATTATTTCTACTGTTCCCATAAAGCCAGTTACGTAACTGGCTTATAAACCAGATAGATATATATATCGCGTTTGTTGTTGCGAATCCTGGCAAGATAGGACTACTTTAATGAGGCTAATCAACTGTAATTGCGTGTTCACACTATTTTGTCTTCTAGAAATCGTTCACTTAGTTCCACGAAAGACGTTAGTACAAGCCAAATGTGTGTGTGATAGCAGTCATGTTGACGTCGGTAGCAATAGCGTGACCGTTTAAGAACCACGCAAAGTTTGCAAAATGAACTAAGGCACAAGAGATAAGCTCATGTGCATAGTAAGTCCTGAATATCTGAATAAAGTTCGTATGCTTTCCTAAAAACGGGGAAATTTCGGGGTTTCATAGAGGAATGTAAATGGTTTTCCCCAAAATTTCAAGTTGTTTTGGGAACAATCTCAGACCAGAAGAGACTTCGGGGTCTTTAGTCTCGTTTCCTCGGGATTTTCTAATTGGGCTTACCCAAAACTGTATTTTATTTATAATATTGAATAAAGCCATTAATAATAATAATAATAATTTTTCCCGAAATCGGGAGATCAGTACAGCCTACTAAAATTGTATCAAGCAGTCTCAGTGTATAAAGCTATAGTTTTTATTCCTCAAAAATTATCTTATCGGCTTGCTCTCCCAACATTGATTTTATTTTCAGTTTGTTTATAATCTTCAGTTCTGCTGAACTTTTTCTCTGTTGTAAGATGTAAAAACTTTCAGTTTATGCTTATACTATGTTGGCTCTCCGGCTCACTGTATTTATAATCCATAAAGATTCCGGCCGGTTAAAAGACTAATAGTAATGTTCTTGTAGATTGATTTCAGTCACATATACCCTTTTTTGAATAGTAATAATTACTACACTATGTAAATATCAGTCTGAATGGAACATTGAAGTAGGTCCCTCGATTCTAGCTCAAGTTCAAAAGGGGATAGCTAATCTGAAACGAGGAAGAGCAGCTGGTCCAGATGGATTGGCTCTAGAGGTCTTTAAATATGGTGGTCTAATTTTAAATATAAGGTTGACTAATATTTTAGCTAAAATCTGGGAGTTGGACGTAATTCAATCCTACTGGTCACAATCACTTATTGTCCCAATATATAAGAAGGAGTCAAAATCTTGTGATAACCGTAGAGGGATTAGTTTGACCAATATAGTATCTAAAATATTGTATCAATAATTATCGGGCGCTCAACTAAGACTCGTGAACTGCAAAAAACGAGAAAATCAGTCTGGCTTCAGACCTGGTCGTGGCTGTATCAACTACATATTCGCTCTTCGTCAGATTTTAGAATACAGACATGCTTATCGGCGTCAGACAATGGTAGTTTTTCTTGAATTAAAAGCAGCATTTGACTCTGTAGACCGAGATTATTTTATTTTATTCAAACACATATATATTGGTACAAAAGGGCACCAAATACATATGCGCCACACAAAATAATGAAAGTAGGAAGAGAAAGGATGAAAAGATAAGGCGGACTGAAATGTACAACCAGAAGACTCTTTCAGTTAAGAAAGTTAGAACCACTCTTTATGAAGAAAGTAAAAGATAGTTGCAGCAGGATCGCCACTGGCTTCTATTCTGAGCCATATTTGATAACGTCTCTAGCCACTGGGTTGCACCATCTCTCGGACCCCAGCCAGGGAGTCGTGAAGGACCAACAGAAGCTAGCCCTTTGCAGCTTTCTCTCATGCCACGACACCATGTCATACACTGATTCCCTCTATGCTTTTTCCAACCAGTCCCAGAGTCGGCAAATAATGCACGACGTGGAAGTCTCTGGGAAGACATTCGTAAAACATGTCCAAGCTACCGAAGTCGGTGTTTCAAGATGGTGACACCAATTGAATTATTGTCTCGGCGCCCGAACACACGATGCCGAACCTCTGCATTACTAACATGGTGTTGCCACTGTATGTCAGCAATCCTTCGGAGACAACGATGATCGAACACAGAGAGATGTCTAACATCCTCAACTCGGAGAGGCCAGGTTTCGCAAGCATAGAGCAAAACTGCTCTCACTGACGCGTTGTAGATCCGACCTTTTACAGCCAGACTAACATCACGAAGGCGCCAAAGATGGCCCAGATTGGCATAAGCCTCTCTGCCTTTCATTATACGTGCATCAATCTCATCACTCACGCCACCACCAGCACTTATGTAGCTACCTAGATACACGAACTTCTCAACTACTTCAATCTGCTCACCATCCAGGGTGAGTACAGGATGAGAATCCTGCCAGTCTTGTAGGAGTACTTTGCACTTGGAGGGGGCAAAGCACATGCCGTAACTGCGGACACTGATTGCCAACTGATTAAGTGCGGATTGTATGCCTTGGGCATTATCGCACAGTAAGACAATATCATCCGCATACTCAAGGTCGAGAAGTCGTTCTCCAGGCAGCAGATCCACACCGCCATTACTTACATCCACCAGAGCTGTTTCCAGGATGTCATCGATGGCAAAGTTGAAGAGGAATGGTGAGATCGGGCAACCCTGCCTAACCCCACTGCTCGAATGGAACAAGGGAGAAAGGTGGTTGTATGCCCTCACTCTGCCTGAGGTGTTCGTATACAGGGCCTTTAAGATGTTAATGAACTTCTCAGGCACACCCTTCTTCAATAGACAATCCCAGAGAACAGTCCTGTCCAACGAATCGAAGGCCGCCCTGATATCAAGAAACACTACGATTGTTGGCCTGCGATAAGTATGACGGTGTTCTAACATTTGGCGGAGGGTGAAGATGTGATCAATGCATCCTCGACCAGAACGTAAACCAGCCTGCTCCTCGCGAGTCAATCGTTCTCGGGTTTTAAACAACCTACGAAGAATGATAGAAGCCAATAGTTTGGACGCAATCGGAAGTAGACTTATCCCCCGATAGTTGTTACAGGAACAACGTGAACCCTTTTTAAAGATAGGGACGACTATTGACTCATTCCATGATGTTTGAACACTTTCTTCCTCCCAAACCTTTGCAAACAACGCAGTTAGTTCCTGAGCCAGAAAGTCACCGCCATCTTTAAAAAGAGCCGGAGGTAAGTCATCTGGGCCCGGTGATTTGTAGCGCTTCAAGAGTTGAAGTTCCTTGCGGACTTCCGCCTCGTTTGGTGGATCAGTCGTCACCGGTTACGGGGGGCAGGACAAACTGGTTGATGTTGCCGGAGCAGCAGGCCAGTTGAACTGCCCTTCGAAAAATTCCGCCCATCGTCCAAGACGTCGAGAGATGTTAGTGATTGGCATCCCGTCATCCTCGTAGATTGTTTCACTCACACCAGACTTCTTGCTGCCAGTGGCTCGGATGAGTTGTAAGAGCTTCCGACAGTTACCAGATGCAGCTGCTGCTTCCATCTCATTAGCACGCTCCGACCACCAGGCTTCCCGGTCTTTACGCAAGCTTTGCCCAATTTCATTATGTAACAGTCTTCGTTTGTGGTCAAACTCACGGTCACCCGGAGTAGACCGACGGGCTTCCATCAGTTGTAAGGGGCCAGAAGAAACCCAGTGCTTGTAAGCGGGACATTTCGCGAAGCCGCAAGCGGCTTTACTCGCCATTTTCATGGCGTCGTGAAGATGCAACCAATGCTCGTCTATACTTTTCGGTGGGTTGGTAGCTAGCCTAGAGGCTAGCTCCGCTCGATACTTACTTTCAACAGATGTTGCAGCCAGTTTACTAACATCGATCCGTTGGTGGTGGTCAATCCTTCGGCCACTGAAAAGTAAGGTGAGATTGGCGCAGACCAGGGCATGATCAGACTCCAGATAGGTACTCCAAAAGGAGCGGCAGTCTTGTACACAACCACGCCAGCGGTAGCTGATCGCGTTGTGATCAATCTAAGTCCAGGCTTGAGATGCAGAGGGAGGACGCCAGGTGGTACACCGGCGATGACTGTGCCGGAAGTTAGTGCTGACCAGAAACAGGTTGTGGTCTGTGCACAGTTGCAGCAAACGGTCCCCGTTATCTGTCCTGCGACCAACAAGTCCCCATCGGCCACCTAAACGACTCTTCTGTGCCTAGACGCCCGACCTGTGCATTCAAGTCTCCGGCTAATACTACAATATCTGTCGAACGCGCTTTCTGGAGAAGAACAGTTACCTGGTGGTAAAACTCATCCTTGATTGCATCCGGGCTGCAATCTGTCGGGGCATAGGCGGAGATGACGAAAAGACACCGTTTCTCACGCCAGTTTCTTCTCACTTCGATGGAACTTTCTAATCTAGCAGCACATAACCGACTGTTAATGGGGATCCAATCGATTAGTGCTGTCTCAGCCCTAGCGCTTAGTGCAACACCAACGCCTGCAAGACCAGACAAAGATGCCACAGGGTCCCCGGATAAGCTCACGTGAAACAAGCTTTTCGAAGCGACAGATGGAGAGCGAATTTGTAGTACTTCACTAGTCTTGAATACGGGTCTCGGATAGACAGCAAACATCAACATTAAGACTTTTTAAAAACATAGCCAGCCTCATCTGTTGTCCGATCTGCATTAGTGTGCGAACGTTGAAGGAAGCCAGCTTGAACGGCGTACGTGGTTTTAGAAAGACTGCTTCAGTATTCGTAATCGGTGGAAGCATTCACTTTCAACCAGACAGTGACTGGAGATCGTTTAGATAGAACAGAGTTTCCACCATGGGCGAGCTACTGCATAAGTTGGAAAGAAAGGATACACAATTTGGGAATAAAGGGAGTGAAAAAGCGACGTAGTAAATAATAATAATAATAATAATAATAATGGTAATAATCATAATAATAATGTAAATTGTCTTGCTTCTATTGTGAGCGAGGATAGTATCGTCAATAGAATTCATCATTTCATTTATTTGTGTGTGGGCTGTGATACTGCCCGGGTGCCCAAACCGAAGCAGGTGGTTTTCTTAGGGGGCCACACCCCGAACCTTTGACCTAAAGGTCTGATCCACAAGGCAGTGGAGCATCGTGAGGAGATGCAGTCCCATGGTAGCCGGTGACCAACAATTGGTTCATTCGCCATTCGTTCCATCAGGATACTGGAGCCCATGTGCATCATTGGTTTGGAATCAGGGTTTTCCAACTCCCTTAGGTGGACCCTCCATATCCACCAACCCGGTTAAAGCGCCGAACATTCGCTTTTCGTCCTCTTAATTTCGTAAACAACACCCCCGCCACGAGAAGTCAGTGAGTAGGACTTTCCTGGCAGAGGCTATATATTCGCGTGACCATGTGAGAGCATTTGGAGAGGGAGAGTGGACTCTCCCCACTCTCGGTCGTACCAGGGCATTTGGGGGCATAGACCGAGAGGTTCGGTGTCAGTGTCTGTCATTGAAAGGTATACCTCAGAAGTACATAAACCTTGTGAAGGCTCTTTACTCAAACACTACCAGTCGAGTGAGAGCTTATGGCAAACTGTCATATGATTTTACAACTCCAAGTGGTATCCGACAAGGCTGTCCATTATCTCCATTTTTGTTTAACTTCATCATAGGCCTACTGCTAGGAATAACGCTCATCGACTGAATTTCCGGGAATTGATCTCCTACCAGGAGGTTCACTTATCGACTTAGAATACGCAAATGACATAATCCTGTTTAGTGAAGACTTTGACAAAATGCAGTCTTTTGATAGCACTGAGTAACTGCAAGGATATTGGGAATGCATTTCTCCCCCTCTACATGCAAGTTGTTGCTCCATGACTAGCCTGCGTCAACACCTAAACTAAGGATAGGGAGTGAAGTAGTCGAACGCGTCGATAACCTCACTTATCTTGAAAGTCTGATCAGCCCCAATGGGTTGATGCCTGACGAAACCTCTGCACGGATTCAAAAGGCTCGTTTGGCTCTTACCAACGTACGTCACCTATGGCGAAGACGAGATATATGTCTATCATTTAAGGGACGAGTATACTGCGCAGCAGTCCATTCCGTTTTACTTTATGGCTGTGAAACATGGCCATTAAGAGTAGAAGATACTCGTAAGTTACTAGTATTTGACCACAGATGCCTTAGAAATATTGCTCGCATCTACTGGGATCACCGGGTAAGTAATAGTGAGGTGAGGTTAGACACAGGGTATTAGGGAATGATGGTAAATCAGTTGATGAGGTCATGAATCTTCATCGACTGAGATGGTTGGGCCACGTGTTACATATGCCTGAACACCGATTACCACGACGTGCTATGCTGACTAGTGTAGGGGATGGTTGGAAGAGTTAGGGGCGGTCAAACCAAAACGTGGAATCAGTGCTTGAAGTCACTAACTTCTAGTCTGAGCCATGTTGGCAGATGCAGACTACCTGGTTGGGGTCCGCGTGACTATCGTAACCAATGGTTGGAGACTCTAGGTGACATGGCTCAGAATCGATCACAATGGCGTAGGTGTATACACTCTTTATCTTCCTTTAAACCTTGAGACTAAAATTGCTTCATATCTCTCTTCCTTCCTATACTATATCCTTATATACAACCTATCTTTTATATACTATCACCACTAAATTAACTACTATGGATTTGTTGTTCATCTTGTTGTGCTAATGAGGTATGGAAATTTGGACCGATGCATATGTGTGCCTGGTCCTACGTTGTAGCTGACTGTCTGGCAGATATCAGACTTGCGTATTCGGATCTATGTTAAGATTACCTTATCCTCATCGAAAAAAGTAACTAATTAACCATAGGGGAAATAAGGACACCTTCAATCGTAATTTTCATCTTAATTTTCAATAGCGGTATTCGTCGTAATACAGCAAGATCTTATTATGTAAATGATAGACAGTAGATACGTAATATGACAAAAATGTTGCTGTTTCGATAGTATACAACTGGCTATTGCAGTTAGCTTGATGTGTTATAATGTATGATGATGATTTTGTTTTTGTTTCATAGGTTGTGGATTTTTGTTTGGGATATTGTTCACTGTTATCAAAGAAATACCCAAACTCTCTCTGAATGCTCCAAATACCATCGATAAATCGGTAGTTCGTTTCATTTTTATTTTATTCTTTTTTTAGGAATTCGTCAGTTAAAACATCACTTTCAACGCTCAACGTTTTAAAACACATTGTTGAGTCAGGAGAGTGGTGTGATCTAAAGTAATTTGTCTTAATTCTAACAGTATAGCAGGAGCTTGATTGATTTAATCATAAAAAAGTTACATGATCTCTGTAAATACTCCGATGATAACACCGTAGTCCTCAATACAACTTTGAGGGTTTTAAAAGCTTTTCGCGAGGAAGCACTCAAGTATGTGTTTTCCTGGCTGATATATCTTTGTTATATAGGTTCCAAATGGGAGAAAATGCAGACTTTGAGGAGAATTTAACAGTTTGTTGATATATACCTGACCTTTTTGTAGAACCGCCTTTTTGCTGTAGGAAATGAAGCTTATGAAACAGTTTCTCGTAACGATATTTTAGAGCCTATTGTTAGCACACTGGATGATTTGGCACTTGAGGTAAAGTCTTGCCTAACAAATTTGGGTGACTTATCCCTGGATTTCATCCATTCCGATGAACTCATCATGACTTCAGGGTATTCCAAGGCAGTACACCATTTTCTTCGTGTATGTGATACATTCTTGATATAATCTTTTCTAGCACGCTGCAAAAAGAGGAAGAAACTTCAAAGTTATAGTGTGTGAATGTTATCCTGACAACTTGGTAATTAGTAGACCAGTTCATTTAATTTTAAAAGGGACACAAAATAGCTGAAGAACTATCAAAGGATAGTGTCGATGTCATTTTGGTCCCTGATAGCCATGTTTTCGGCTTGATGTCGCGAATAAATAAAGTAAGATTTGTGCGCCATATTAATCTTCTAGGTAATTGTTAGCTGCCAGGCTGTTTATCCTGATGGAACGTTAAAAGCTAGAGTGGGCACTTACGGCGTTATGCTTGCAGCTAAAAGCTTCTCGATCCCGGTAAGCTGTTTGATATGATAAACACTGGCTACACATAGATACTATGGTTAAGACCAACCTTTAGCTATCAGGTCTCAGATTCGAGTCTCACCTCACTTCGGTTCAAGCAGGCTCATAGTAGGGCTAGCCTTCACATGTTGATTGTGGCTCACAGTTGAGCGCACGAATCTACACGTTGTAAATGAATTACATCATGCAATATTTAACATATTGTCGATTGTCACCGTTTGCGCTTCCTGCTTACAGCAGTTTGGATGTATTCATGATGGCATTTAGCTGTTTGTTATTTCAATACCCTCAAGACTAGTAAATACAAAGATCCATGTCACCCAACTGAGTGCTTTATTCGAGTTCTACAACAACATTGGTTAGAATATGCGTTTGTTTATTGCGATATTATTGCGATAAATACCATTCATCATACCTGAGATTTCCAACTGTTATTCATTCCACAATTGTAATTATTCGTTTTTCTTTCATGATGATCTGTTTGCTTTGAGCATATATATATATATATATATATATATATATATATATATATATATATATATATATATATATATATATATATATATATATATATATATAAAGGCACAACCATATAATCGGTTAATTATAGCGATTCATTGAGTAAAAATAAGAATAAGGCAACTAGGTATAAATATTTAATGTTATTTGTGGAACTAGTAGTTCTGAACATCGGCTCTCTTTGTTGACCAAATGAGGAAAGAGAATAGTAAGATTTATATTTATTTGAACATATAAAGATTGGTACAAGGGGGCACCAAATATATATGCACCTTACAACACAAATGAGGTTGTGAAGAGATAAGGTCAGTATAATAAAAAGCAGGAACATAAATCACTAGAAATTAGTGTATGAAAGTGATATAACAATAATATAATTATATTAATAATAGAAGCAGTTCAATTGAGCAACATCCAACGGGAAATAATTCTTTTAGTAAAAGAAGTTGCGTTCACTTTTATAAAGAGAATGAAGAAAGGTTACAGCAGGGTTGCTGTTGGCTTCTGTTCTGAGCCACGTCTGATAACGTCTCTGTCCACTGTGTTACGCCATCTCTCGGACCCCAATCAGGGAGTCGCGAAGGACTAACAGAAGCCAGTCCTGTACAGCTTTCTTTCATATCACGACACCATGCCATACACTGACCACCTCTCCGCTTTTTTCAACCAGTTCCAGAGTCGGCAAATAATGCACGACGTGGAATTCTCTGGAACGACATTCGTAGCACATGTCCAAGCTACCGAAGTCGGTGTTTCAAGATGGTGACACCAATTGAATTATCGTTTCTGCGCCTGAACAGATGATGCCGAACCTCTGCATTACTAACATGGTGTTGCCCCTGGATGTCAGCAGTCCTTCGGAGACAACGATTATCAAACACAGAGAGTCAGCCAACATCCTCAACTCGGAGAGGCCAGGTTTCACAAGCATAGAAGAACACTGTTCTCACCGACGCGTTGTAGATCCGACTTTCTACACCCATACTAACATCATGAAGGCTCCAATGATAGCTCAGATTGGCATAATCCGATCTGGATCTCAATATACATGAATTGATCTCATCACTCACGCCACCACCAGCACTTATGGAGCTACCCAGACACACGAACTTCTCAACTACTTCAATCTGCTCACCATGCAGGGTGTTTACAGGATTAGAATCCTGCTAGTCTTGTAGGAGTACTTTGCACTTGGAGGGTGCAAAGCACATACCTTACCTACGGACACTGATTGCTGACCGATTAAGTGCGGATTGCATGGCTTGGGTATCATCGCATAGGAAGACAGTATCATCCGCATACTCAGGGTCGAGTGCTCTTTCTCCAGGCAACGGGTCCACACCATTACCTGCATCCATCAGAGCTGTTTCCAGAACGTCACTAATGGCAAAATTGAAGAGGAATGGTGTGACTGGTAAACCCTACGTAACCCCACTAGTTGATGAAACAAAGGAGAAGAACGGTTGTATACCATCACTCTACCTGAGGTATTTGTATTATGGGGCATTCAAACTATCAATAAACTCAGGTAACCCTTCAACAAAGAATCTCAGAAGACACCCCTGTCCAAAAAATCGACGGTGGCCCTAATGTCAAGAAACACAACGGTTGTTGGCCTGCAATCAGTATGGCGGAGTTCTAACATTAGGCGGGGGGTGAATAAATGATCAATACATCCTCGACTAGAACGAAGACTAGCACGCTCCTCCCAGGTCGATCTTTCTCGGGTTTTGAGCAATCTAAGAAGTGTGACGGAAGCTAATAGTTTGGACGCGATCGAGAGTAGACTTATCCCTCCATAGTTGTTGCAGAAACGACGTGAACCATTCTTAAAGATAGAGACAACTATGGACTCATTCAACGATGTTGGAACACTCTGGTTGCCAGACCTTTGTAAACAACTCAGTCATTTCCTTGACCAGAAAGTCGCCACCATCCTAAAAAAGGTCCAGAAGTAAGTCATCTGGGCCTAGTGATTTGTAGCGCTTTAAGAGTTGCAGTTCCTTGAGGACTTTAGCCTTGTAAAGTGGATCAGTCGTCACATGCCATGGAGGGCAGGACAGTCTGGTAGGTCGCCGGGGCAACAGATCAGTTGAACTGCTCCTCAAAAATTCTGCCCACCGTTCAAGATGTCAGTAGATGCTATTGATTGGCATCTTATCAGCTTCACAGATTGTTCCACTCGCGCCAGACGTCTTTCTTCCAGTGACTCGAATGAGTTGAAAGAGCTTCGAATAGTTATCAGATGCAGTTGCTGTTTCAAACTCGTTAGCATGCTCCGACGATAAGGTTTCTAGGCCGTTACTCAGACTTTGCACAACTTCATTACGTAAAAACCTGTGTTTGTCATCAAACTCACGGTTAGCCAGAGTAGACCAACGTGCCTAACGAATTGTAAAGAGCCCGTAGAATCCTAGTGCTTATAATTGAGCTTTTTTGCGAATCTGCCAGTGACTTTACTCTCTATTTTCATGGTATCATGCAATAGCATCCAATGCTCACCCATACTTTTGGTATGTTGATAGCTAGCCTTTGACCTAGTTTGGTTTGATATTTAATTGTAACAGAAGCTGCAACCAATTTTCTAACGACGACCCTTTTAAGACAATGAATTAGTTGGCCACTGAGACGTAAGATAAGATCAGCGCAAACAAGGGCGTAATCAGAGTCCAGATAAGAATTCTTAAGGAAGTGTTAGCCTTGTACTCAACCATGCCAGCTTTAGCTGATCGCTATGGGATAAGTCTGAGTCCAGGCTTAACATACGGAGGGAAAACGGAAATAGACTATGGTCTGTGCAAAGTTATAGTAGACGGTCATCGTCATCTAACCTGCAACCAATAAGTCCCCATTGGTCACTCAAGCGTCTCTTTGCTCCTAGATGTCCGAGCTGCGTATTCAAATCTCTGGCTAGCACTCCAACACCCATCAAACTCATTTTCTCAAGATCATCTAACTAGTAGTAGAACTCATCCTTAGTCGCGTCCTGGTTACAATCTACTGGGGTGTAGGCTGTGATAACAAAAAGACATCGTTTCTTACACCGATTCCTCACTTCGAAGGGGATTCCTAATCTGGCAACACATTATCAACTGTTATTAGAAATTCAGTTGACTAGTGTTGCCTCAGCTATAGCTCTTTGTGAAACATCAATGCCAGAAAAAGAATACAAAGATGCCACCGCGTCCCCGAATAAATTCACACGAAACAAGCTTTTCGAAGCTACAGCTGGAGAGCGAATTTGTAGTATTTCACTAAAGTCATGGATAAGGGTCCCAGATCGACAACAGAAATCGATGCTGAGACTCTCTATATATAGATATAGCCAACCCTAACCGTTGTCCGATTTGGATTAGTGTGCAGGAGGAAGGCAGTTTAAATGGCATACGTGGTTTCAGAAAGGTTGGTTCAGAATTCTTATTTAATGGTGGCATTCCAATTTCAACCAATCAATGACTTGTGATCGTTTAGATAGGACAGCATTCCTACCATAGGCGAGCTGCTGTAGGAGTTGAAGAATAAAGGAGTATAGAAAATTGGAATAAAGGAATAGATAAGAGATAGGATGTAAAATAAAAACAAATATTAACGAATAGTTTTAGGTATGATTTAGAGAATGAGGATCAAAACGTTAACAGTTTTTGTAGTTACAGTTATCATTTAGTTTATGTGTGGGCTGGGATACTGCTCGGAAGCCCCAATGGAAGCAGGTGGTGTTCTTAAGGGAGAACTCCCCTGACTTTAGCTTGGAAGTCTAGTCCACCAGGCAATGGGGCAACGTTAGGTGATGTAGCCTCATAGTAGCCGGTGATCCTGGATCCTATGTGTACCATTGGCTTGAGATTAGGGTTTTCCAACTCCCCTAGGCGAATCGTCTGTACCCACTAACCCGGTTAAAGCGTTGGACGTTTGTTTTTTGTTTTCTTAATTTCGTAAGCAACACCCCCATCACTAGAAAGCAGTGGGTAGGACGTCCTTGATATTGGTTGTATACGCGTAGCCATATTAGAGCATTCCGAAAGGGAGAGCGGACTCTCCCCACCCTCGGCCGTACTAGGGCATTCAGAGGCTCCTTTTTGTCATATTTAACAAATGGCAGTCGCCATGTCGATAAAGATGTATGTTATAAAGTTATTAATAGAATTCCATCAAATTTGGTCCATATATTTCCAGACTCTATCTTTTACATACAGCAGAAGCAATAGGTACGTACATCAATAAACCTAATCTTTGTACATAGAAAAGATTTGTTCATCCTCTTAATTTACCACTGCTTTCTCTATTGTTACTACGTTTCTCAAAAATTCCAATCCTATTTTACTGTATTTTACGTGATCTATCTAACTTGACAATCTGGTTACTTAATTTTCCTTGTACCCGAATTCTATGTTATTAGTTTTACGAATAACATTGAATGTTTATATTCAATTGCTTTGCTCTTACCTAACGAATCGCTATGATCAACCGATTATATGATTGTGCCTTTCGATTTAGTTTTACATCTGTCGGGTCTCTAGCCGATTACTAGTTCAGAGAAAACATTGTCAAATTGACCAACCACCATTTATTCGGTATTGATTTTATTTTGATTACAAAACATATATTAGTGTAGAGCCGTGGTGAGGAACATGTGTTTTAATGTAATGGGAATACTTAACATAGCGATTGTATAATTATTGCTTAACTAACGCCTGTTAATCTTTTAAGAAGTGTGAATAGGCGTTTCACTCAAATGGTTTGATATATTGGTATATACAGAGTTGATGAATATTTTCATAATCGTACAGTTACACGTGAATGTTTCTGATATAAATATATTCAATACCGTCTATTGCATCTTCACTGGTTAATATGACGTCCATGAATTGCGATGTTACATCGTTCATTGCTAACTATTGTAAAGTTGAAATGTATAGACTGATTGAAATAAAGTATTATTCACTATAGTGATTCACTGCTTAGTGATCAAACACTAAACACCTTTGCTGGTTTCATAGCTGAATAAATTAAACTAGAGAATATGTTCGTTGTAGAGGGAGTTTGGGTTGCAAAGAATTGTTTTAAAGGCAAGAAAAGTCAATATTCATGTTCATTTAATTAAAAAGCGCCTTTTTAATTTTCAGATCTACGTTTGTTTACTGCATCACAAACTCTCTCCTATTCCATTCAAGCACTCTTCTCGATCAACACCATCATTCTCTGTACAGCCTACTGCTAATCCCAGTGATAGTTCACCAGATTGGCTGGATAGCCCATCAGTTATTTTACCGCCAAATGAGCCTAAACTAATTAACGAAGGGTTAGTTTATCATCAGCCCAGCGAAGGTCCGGTTGTTTGGGTCCCAAAATGGGAAATTGTACCTTCAGGTCTTGTCAGTTTATTTTTGACAAATCTTGGCACTCATGCCCCATCATATTTATATGCTCTTGGACGAGAATTGTTCCACTCTGCAGATATTAAGACAATCATGACATATCAATAACTGAAATAATTTGTGTAAAAGATTTTTAAAAGTTTTTTTGGTTAAAAAGTTTTGATTTATTCAGCATGTGGCTTCGTATAGTGTTAAAATTTAATCATGCTCACTCACTAAAAAAAAGAAGTTTGATTATTGATATGTGTAATTCATCACTAAGATAAGTGTAAAGACGATTTATAATCATTATGACGTGTGTACCTCTTGTGTTTTTCACTATGCAGGGATCATTACCAGGGTTTGACTTGATAATTTCGAATAAATTGAGCATTGGGTAGATTGTTATAAATAAAAATAATATATTTGTAATAAATAATTTTTCTACCCATTGGAACATTGCACTATGCGTTCGATGTTAACGTATCGCTGTCATATTTGTAAGAGTTACTACAAAGTGATCATGAGTAGTTGTCGAATAAAAAGCAGAGACCTTATCAAATTTGAGTACTTATTTACGAACGTCTTTGTACCTCTATCAGCCGTGAAAGGTATATTATAGTCTGAGATATTAGGATCAATTACCACTTGGCGCGTATGAAGTATATCTCTTGAAGAAATGTTTTATCTCTAGTGGTATTAGTCTGAATTCTCGAGGCGTTTTGCAATTAAAAAACTGTTTATATAAGAATATTATTTGGAAACTGAGTGTTATATTTCTTTAGGGTTTTTACTTTATGTATGAAGTTTCCCTTTTGACGGAAGTAATATACTTCTAAAACTAATATATTTATTGATTATCTGGTTCTACGTATAATTTAACGACAAATGATGGCTTCTTACTAAATAATATAGTTTTCCATTTGTAAGTCTTATGTTAGTCATGTAAACTATATAGATAGAGTGCAACAGAAGTTCAGTCAACATTAACTCGCCTACCTGGTACAAGTTTATGTGCTCTATTTTAAACCATTGTTTGTGCATGGAGTAACTATATTGACTGGATCCTTATCATGAAGTCGGTATTGACAATTTTAAACTTGCAGACTACTGATTGAGAGTCGTTTGAGTAAACCATTTAACGATTTCTTCTATTTACTCTAAATATTAAGAACAATGTGTTGGTGAAAGTGTTTATATTATTGTCCTGTACAATTGAACTTCTTTACGACAGTTCAAATATGTAGGAGCAGTCAATTTGTGTATGTAAGATTTTAAAAATTTAGGTTAGAGAATAGAGATTAATAAACAGTTTCATCAAACTACTTCATAATTCATGAGAAATATGATCGCAGATTATGTGAATATTGGTTTTGTAAATGTAACAGTAATATATGAATTGAAATACTCAACGATTACGTTTTTGAGAGGGTAATGACATTCGCTAACTTAATATGAGTAAAATAATACGGACTTTGACACTTGTTCATAATAAACACTCACTTACTGGGTGATAATTAGACATTTTGACGAACGCAACCTACTTCAATAATAAATGGATTGTTGGGTGGGTAGTTATTTTTTCGAATTTCCGAAAGATTATGATTGCATTTTTACGTCAGTGAATTTGAACTTTCTGATGCAGGCAAATTGATTAGTGATGGTTCCTTGTATCAGATGTTCATTCATAATTTAGTGAAACCATTTAAAGTACAAACTCTAGTTTTCTTCGATGAAATATTCCCACAAGTGGTTACGTAATCAAATAATTTGAGAATGATGAACAAAGGTATAGTTTTTTCTGAAAATAACTGGATACTATTGAAGCTCGAAAGACGAGAAAATCCTTCATTCCTACCAAGGGTTATCATCTACAGATTTATCTTTCATATAATATCAATAAGTACAAAGCTAAGATCAATGCTACTCTGAAGGTTTAATGCGTTTAATCAATTTCGAATGTTTGGGAACAAGTATTCCTAAACATTGATACCACTGATATTCGTACTTATAGAAGAATGAATCTGTAACCTTAGAGAATTTGCTACTTCGTGATATTTTCAAATCCATTCATTTTTAGAGTGAAAGGTCCATCTCAACAATGGATAGTGCAATCCAGACTTTATTTCTAACTATTGAACAGAGAAATGAAAACGAAGAACGATTAAAGACTTGCTTGGTTAATTTAGTTGACTACTCTAGTAAGTCTTAGGAATTTACGATATCCTTAATGCGTCGGACCAATGTCTTATCAAGCAATAAAATAGCAGTCTGTAGAGAAGTGGATTGATAGAACTTCACTGTTTCGAAGCGTTAGAGTATCACCCAATAGCAGTGAAACTACAGCAGTATATATTTACTGAGTTAATCTTGAACATTTAAATGCATGTGAAGTAGAACTTCATACGACATGTTTACTAACCTGATTATCGATGTCGATTAAAGTTACAACATCAAGAAATTTATTGGTACTCGATATATAGTTCGTGTTTGTTCAAAGTCTGGCTACCGATCATTAAGCGATTTTGTTATAAATGAATCTATAACTTTCATCTATTGTTCAATGCACAGGAAATTGTACACCGTTTGTTTCCCTGTTTCCGGGATTATCTGGACCGATAAGTAGTGACTACGTTGCAACAATACAAGCATTGCATTTACCTGATCAAATAAGCTAAAGGTTCAGTCTGATAATAGGACTAACAAAAATTATTACAGTGGGTTTTCGGTTAGTCTCTTGAATACACATTAAGGAGGAAAACATTGCTCAAATGATACTTATCTTGTCCAAAGTATTCATGTCTTTAAAAGCTGAACACAGACTTCAGTAGGACCGATTTGTGACTGATGTGGAGTCCTTAAAATGTCGTGTCATTACTGACCGTCTCACTGATTACAACTAGCCATGAGAATTGCTTATGTTTGATCGAAAAGGTCGATAGTTTGTGACTGGGTTTCAACAGTTTTGAATTCAGGAAATCAACTTCATGAATTCCTGTCGGATAATGTGATTTTAATACATACACATTCTGGCTATATCCCGCAAGTTTGGACATCGTTCAATGATAGATATAGTAAGTAAATTGATGAGCAGTTCACTTTGTGTTGCTCAATATCTGCGAAACAGTCTATGAATGTAAAAGATATGTGTCGACTGAAGATGTTTTAATCATAAGTGACTTCGAAGTACTGCTTACGTATCGTGAGACGAATAAGGTAATCGATTTTGAGGTTTTATGGATCATACTAATATGAGAAGTTGGTTGATAAGGTGAATTTCCATATGAAGTAGTTTGCGGATAGTATTGGATATGCATAACCACCGCCTATTTCGACGGCCTATTTTTATTGGTTTACAGATAGGTTGTGAGCAAGTTATTGGTTGTTTTTCTGAATCACGTCGGCAGATGCAGGTCACCTAGGGTTGTATTCGCTTGATAACCACCACCAGTGGTCGGGTGACATCATACGGAGTCATTTAGAGTGACACAAACGTGGTCACTCATTATTTTCCTTTTGAGTTACAGCATTTTTTCGTGCACACTTCATCATTGTCTTTTTGAGACCTATTCTCAATGCTGTTTGTTTCATTATCATTACTACATTACCTTAACTTCCTTGTTATATTTTTTGAAATTTATCTCGTACTAAAGTGGTCTGGTAAGCTGGAACAACACACACAGATGTACCAGACTCTACGTAGGTCATGATTATAACAAGCTCGTACGTAACATACACGACACTGAATATGCCACAGGTATTTGGAGTTTGACAACGCTTGAACCAGTAACACCTACTATGAATCGAATCCACCTAGTGAAATCAAAAGTCAAAATCGAGGGGTTCGAAGATATATTGGATAGGTTATCAATATATCGAGAATCTAGGCTCGTTAGTGATTACAGGGGATGTTGAGCACGGCGTTCCCACTCGTGATCTGTTGCGGATTTATGACCGAGAGCCTTCAGCTAGGTGAGTCCAATAAAACTAATGTGATCAGCATCCAATGTCGAACACTTACAGAGCTATTTATTTTGGGGATTTATTTACCGCTACAGATCATTCCCATCCCTAGTGTTGTGGTAGTGATGACCCTATGTCGTGGCCAGCCAGAAGTTTAAAACCAACGAGTTTGTCGTAGGTCAATACTCTTCTGATAGCTTGCTATATTTATCAGCATCTGGTCGTCTTTCCTTACTATAAGGGACCATGAATTACAACATAGTAATAAGGAAACAAAGTATAGTCTAAATTTCGGTTCATTGTAAACTTTGTCGTTCTTTTTTCGTCTTTCCCAGCCGTCCTTGGAAAGAAAAAAGTGTTATGTAAATACATGTCGAAATACACTCATACGCGACAAAAAAAGGAAAATAAACTTATGCATATGCGATAGCGTAAAAACGATTATCACAGAATGGATCTTATTTTTCGAAAAAAAATTTTCTTAATATACGTATACTAGCGAGCATATTAGCAAACAATATCTTGTTTTTGGAATAAATATAAGCATATTAAAACTGATTTTTTTATATCATATATAATACAAAGAATCGAGATGAAACAAAACGTTAATCCATTCCTTACGTGCAATAATCGTCTAAATGTTCTGGAAACCTTACCCTCCTTCCAGAACACGTAGTTTTAAGTCTATTTTCAGATACTGCCAAAGTATCATCCTGAGTGATGGCTATCAGATGCGGTATCGTAAGTGTAGGAATCGTGTCTTTCGACTGTACCGATGGAAAAGCAACGTGGATAGGGTGATGCAACCGATGCTGATGCTGTCGTTAGTTTCGTTTCTATAGATTATATAGTACTTATGTTCACGCTGAAGAACTTTGAAGGGTTCTTTGTAAGCTGATTCGAGAGGTAGTCGACGTACAAAGAATTATGTGCTATATCGTAAGTTAGGTTGAACGAAAACATCAGTTAAGTAAGGTAGAGTGGCAGCAGGTTTAACTGAACACATTGCGTTTGTAAGCCTGCTCGTGTAGGAGTTTAGATCCATATTCACTGAATAATATGGACGATCCACGAATTCTCCTGTAGGTTGAAGTTCGTTCCATAAACAAGATGAGCTGCAGTATATCTAATGTCAGCTTTCACTGCATCGCGAATACCTAGTAAGTAAGATAAGCAAACACGTACAAAGTGGTTTGAATGGGCGTTTTTTTTGAAGTTATCTGGCGATGATTATACGGTGTAGTCTTCGTTGATTCAGAGTAATAAATTGCTATAATTTGTTATCAAGGGGATACATTAGTCATACTATTTTGTATAACGATATTATTCTGTATGGATCTCCTATACAATAAAATACTTTTGAATTTTACCAAAATTGGAGTTTGTGTTGTTTTAATTGGTGGATTGTTTCCCACAAATTAAATATGTATGTTTGCAGTCCACAAAAAGAAATTATTTAGTGTATTGTAAGCAAAGATGGATAGTGGCTAGCAGTGGAAACCAGGAAACGCGTTTCGTCCTATTTGGGACTCATCAGCTAGATGTACTTGCATCTCAGATTTGATGTTCACTCTGGGACTCGAACCCAGTACCTTTCGCTTCAAACGCCATCGCGTTATCCACTCGGTCATTGAGTCCTGAAAGCCACTTGCTTGTGCGATGGGGTGAAGTTTAAATTCATTTAGTATCCATCTTTGCTTATAATGCTTGTGAATTAAGGCTATATCGAGGCAATACGCACAGTATGCACATATGCTAATTAGAGACTGATCAGTTGCAATCCTAACACATCGATGGGAAGATTCAAACAAACAATAATAAATGAATTTATACAGTGTACTGTTTACAGTTTTTCTCGATTTTAATCAAACCCAACATTACTGTTTGATTGAAAACAGCAATCCCGTTATTCTAATAGCTTATTATGCATCAGAGGCTTCATTCCAAACGATGGAGAAGTACTCATCAATTACACGAGAGAACTTTATGACATGTAAACCTTTCCTCATGATTATTGAATCCTCCTGTCTTATCTCAAGAATTATCACGTAAATTAATAGTATATCACTAAATACCCGATGTTGTCTTTGTATTTCTTCAAATATTTGTTCTAAGTATTCAGAATGAGGGATATTTTCTATGGTGAAAAATATATATTCAACAAATTTAGTTCTTTAGGACATGATTGTAATCTCCATCTTATTTGAAAAAGTCGAGTTTCCAAAGTGTTGTGACCCATTGGATAATAACTTAATGGTCTCAAAGTAACGCGCTAACCGTGAAACTCGGGGGGGGGGTTGTGCTCAATTCCTGATGGGGTCAAATGAGTATACTTTTAACAAATCTAAAACAAAACCACTGTTTAGTACTTGTTATTTATCTGTTTGTCCGGCTAATAAAGCCGTAAATATAAACTACGAACTAACCACTTTGCAAACTTCATAAGTAGACTGTATTGTTTCACAAGCTGTCAGTGCAATGTTACAATATTATTCTTTATTATGAAAGTTAGTTATTCAATGTTAATCTCTAGTGCTATTAATTTGGTCTTTTGTTTAATAGTTGAAATCACGAGTCAATTGAAGCAAGACCACCATGGAAAACCTGGAAGCATTGGACGTCTGTTTCGTCCTGTTATGGGACTCCTCAGCATTGCGCACCCACAATCCCGCCCTCGCGAGATTCGAACTCAGGACCTACCAGTCTCGCGTCGGAGCACTTAACCGATAGACCACTGAGCCAGCATCCAACCAATCCACGATGTTTAAGCAACCGTTCACCAATTGTCTTCAGTTAGTTAATATCTCCACAACAGACTTGGTTGAACTCCATTGGTCTCATGATTTCAACTATGCAAATACTGAAATCTTCACAAAAAACTCCTGATCTTTTTTTAAAATTACGTATGACTATTAGGAAAAATTTAATTGCTTTAATTTATAGGATTATAATCAATAGAAATAAACATTTTCTTGTCAATTTGGTTCTTTTAATAATGCACTTTTTGATGGTAAACTTCATTTATCATTATATTTGTGTTTGTGTCTAAGGGTACGATCATGTAATGGTACATTTCATAAATAATCGACGAAGTAAAAAGGCATCATTTAAAGTGCATAAGTATTCATAATAACTGTGATGTTATAGACGTATAATATTGAATAATTTTAAGATAAATACATATATACAGTAAAATATTATGAATTCAGTTTTACATTTTCTTTATAAAAAGAAAGCCATTAAGATTAGAAAGAATATATAAAGTAAACATGGTAACATGTTGTTTATTTTTCAATATATTCATTATTTTGCTTGTTTCTGTTGATTATACAAAATGTATGTCAAATGCAATAAGTGGCAGAATATTTATACCAGTATCATTTGGTGCTTATGCTACATTAGATTATCCATTCATAGTATTGTGGGGGGGCGATATTTACAGACCTTACAAAAAGCCATTTTATTATTATAATAAATATAAAGATAACCAAAATTACTATTATTATTCTAATTATAATTCACAACCGGTGGTATCCACTGGATACAGTTCACCATCATCATATAAGAATTATGGAAATAATTATAATAATGAAATATTAAAAAGTGAAAGAAAGGAGGGAAATTCCTATTATTATGATAGAAATACAAATGATAAAACTTCATCTGCCAGTCAAAAAGATGATCGAAGTTATAATAATGACAATTATCGAACATCCTATTATGATGATATTAAATATGCCCAGCCAAATCATAACACAGTTAATAAAAAGAAATCAAATTCTATGTATAGTAAATCTAATTACAAGATGCCTGAAGTTGCCAATCCATATTACAGGGATCGATTACACAAAGAACCAATATATAAGTATAGAGCTGATGTACCGAAATTAAAGAAATTCAGATATAATGATCAATATCAAGTGTCAAAATCCTTTCATTATAATGATAATCTTAAAAAATATCACAATAATAACAAACAAGTAGGTTATCAATCAAGTAAATCTATTAATCATCATCATCATCAGCATATCAATGATCATCTAAATTGGTTATCAAATAATAATAATAATAATAATAATAATAATAATAATAATAATAATAATAATAATGATAAATCTGTGATCATGAAATTGAAATATTATTATGATCAATTTTTTGATGATATGAATAAACCAGGTTATGATGATAAGAGTTATAATAAACCTAAATATCAAGAATATCAAAATATTAAACATATTTACAAGAAACCAACAGTCAATATTCGAAAAGTATCAAATGATGTTTATGAAGAAAGGAAAGGAAAGAGTAAAGATAAAGAACGTCATGAGGAATATGGTAAAGATCAATATTATGAAAAATCAAAACCTGACAATGAAAAGAATTATCTTGATAAAAAAACAAATTATGATGAGGTGAAAAATAAAAAAATTTCAGAAAAGAAAAAATCTAAATCAGAAGATAAAAGTGAAGAGAATAATAAACAAGTTGAAAAGGATGTAAAATATTCAAGGGAAGATAATGTAATTAAAGTGATTAATGAATACGCATAAACATAATTAAAGTAATGAATATAATAATCATTTAATCGTAAATATAGTAATTTAATGTAATACTACTAATAATAATAATAGTATGATTATCTAATTATGATTCTTTTATGAACTGTTGATCATCCATTCTGGAGATCAAAAAGAAATTGAATGAATATGACATTGACAAAAAAGATTGATCAAATTTGTAATAAAATCTATTTCTCTTTCTTTAAAAAAACGTTTGTTCAGACTCATTGTATTTGAGGGTTCAACCTACTGATTACACTCGATCAGTCGAGTTATTCAAAGAGAAAAGATCAAGACTACGTAGTAAACTTTATGGTCAATAGCTAAATAATGGTGCTTGTAGTTCATGCAAATATTTAGGTAACAAAACTGATTTAGACAAAAAAACGATCTTTAATAACTGACATTGGTTAAGTGAATAATTTACTAACCATAGTTTGATCACATTTAGATCTTAGTTACTGAAGAAAATCTTAAGACAGGTATTCATCTCACACAATGGATGAATGGTTGCGCAGGATCACGGATCGATTGAGGTCAGACATTAACACCGTTGGATTCCAGCTCTTCGGTCTGGAGGTTAAACGTTTGCAAACGAGACCGAAGGTCCTGGGTTCGAATTCCGAATGCAGGATCGTGGATGCTCACTGCTGAGGAGTCCCATACTAGAACAAAACAACCGTGCAGTGGTTCCAGGTTTTTGATGGTGGTCTAGCTTACATAGACTCATGAACTCAACTGTTAAAAAAATGAGTTTTTTTACAAATAAAGTTGAAATAGAACATAAATCATCAAAGAAGCCGACAGTTTCAATCAATATATTGAACAAACGGAGCTCGAAAATACTGAAATATATTTAAATATTTTTGTTTTATGTATTTAAAGTTAATCAGTAATGTGTTCAATCCAGAACTAACAACGAAAACAGTGTTGAAGGGGAATAATGTTTTACCACTGATTTACGTTTAGGTCTAATTCGGTGACAGTATCTTAAATTAATCATTACAATGACTACATAGCATCATGTGATCTGATGATCAGCAACGTGTAACTTAAGGACTGTAAATATCGACTTCTAATTGAGTTTACTAAATAGTTTTGCTTCTCAGTAAACAAAGTTATGATACAGTTTTTTCAATTGTCTAAAAAAGTTATACTTATAAGTCAGACAAATACTATTGGGTATTCACTACTCACAGTGTTGCTCGTATGGAATCAAAACCACTGAATTTACTACTACTGAAACTTTAAAAAAAAGTACATATGTGCTATAAATAATCATCCACAGTAAAGAGTTTAAAAAAGTGGTGGAACCACAGTAGATGATGGAGTATATATATATATATATATATATATATATATATATATATAATTGATGAATGCTGCACTTAGCTTCATGAGAAAAGGACACCTTGGTTATTGAGATTTCCAACATTCCAGGAATGATTAGTTGAACAACTTACGGGACGATATATGAAGTTTGAGGTATCAAGGTTAATTCATTCTTCCTTATTTATATTCAACACTACAGAAAATCAAGATTTAACAGATCACTTTTACTAATCACTTTATTTATTTGAAGCGGGGGTACTGGGTTCGAGTCCCAGAGTGAACATCAAATCTGAGATGCAGGTATATCCAGCTGACGAGTCCCAAATAGAACGAAACGCGCGTCCTGGATTCCACTGCTAGCCACTATCCATCTTTGTTAATCACTTTATTGTTTACAAACTAGAGCAACTAAAATTGGTGTACTGTCATAAAGAGCTCAGTATCGATCCAGTCAGTGAGTATTGTGAAAAGCAATAATCCTCTACAAATAATTTTAGTAATAAATATGTTTAGTTTTTAGACGATCGAAGGTTTGTCAAAAAATAACCAAGTTCTGCAATAAATCTCAAAAAAAAATCTCAAAGTGATAATTAAGAATTTAATGGATGGCCGATTTGGAATACGAAAAGAATTGCGTTGAGACTTTAAGCGAGACAAATAATCACGTGACTTATCCCCCAATCGGAATACGACTTATGCAATCTTAGCACTGTGCCAAACCGATGACGTATCGACCGGTATGAGCAGCCTAGAGTATTTAGTGATCATTTTTCGTCTCAGCTTTGCCAGTTAAGTCTAGACCACCAATACCAGCTCCCACTAAGCGAACTATTCACTTGAAATATACTTGGTTTATGTACAAGCCAAAAGGACCAAATCATACTATGAAATAGGAAATAACATTTGTACAAGATCAAACCAAAAAATGGCCGTGAACGTAGGAGACTGTAATTAATAAATTGAATATAATTTAAGAATAATAAATCGCATCATAATGATTTATAGGTCAAAATAAAGCTTGTAATAAGAGGAGTATAGATATACATAATCTAGTTACTGAATAGCTATAGAATAAGAATATACGCATAATATATTTGTTGATAAACATTTCTCAGAAGTTACCTATCTTCACTAGGATTAAAACAAGTTGAATGAAGTATTTGAAGTTAAATAGCTACAGGTACACGCCAGGATAATGTGTAGCTAAATTTCATATTGTTTGGTTTTAGTTATCACTGAGCTACTCAATGATGGAGTCTTTAGTATGCAGAACATTGCTTTCTTAGATGTTTTTGATAGGCCCTGCCTACCGCTTCCAACCAGCAAAACGTAAATGTATATCTTAATATTGATTCCTCACGATTATCTAACATAAAATGTACTATGTCGAAATACTTGAACATTTATTTACTTTTGATTATGATCGGTAGACTTTGGTCAGAACTAAGGGGACTAGGCAAACATAACATAGGTTATTACCCAATAAGCAGTCAGTTTGAAGTGTACTATCAATCAATTAAGATAAGAATATTACACCCAGAAAGCAATAAACGATTAAAGGTTAATTGTCGTCTGATCAATACATTTAATGCGAAAAGTTAAAACAACTACTTTCGTGTAAAAGCATGAGTTTTGAATAACTTCCAAAATTTAGGATATTACGGTGTTATGAACTACACGGTTTTTAATGAAATCCATATAACCGTTGATTATTAAGTAATCAATAAGTACAGATCATAGTATCAACTAATTTGTTAACCATTGAATTAATAAATTATCATAAATGTTTATTTCCTAAGTGTAATCAGTGCAAATCGTTAAGTGAAATAAACTGAAAGACTATCTTTATTTCTTGAATATGTTGAACACTACGTTTTGAATATATCTTTAATAACTACTTGTCTGAAGAAAAGTTCATCAAAAATTGGTTTAACATATGGTTTGTTAATTTATGATTTATTTATTCAAGGTTCAATTCACATCCTTTTTTAGAAAATCTTGATAGTGTTCATTCTAATGTCAAAATTGTGAAGTTAGGAAAGATTATGGATTGATAACTAGATTTATCAGCATAATCTTTCAAAATTGAACCCAGAACATAATGTTCAAAAGTCAGGTATTCTTCGTTTTTTTTTGACGATTTTTAGCTATACCTGTAATAGTTTATTTATCTACCTATCACTCATTTATTCCCTCATTTTAGGTTGATAATATTTATCAAATGAATAATTAACTACCCAAGATGATGTCAATATTGTCTTCATCTTAATTATTTTTATATTTTTCTCAATACTTTTAACACCTCATAACATAAAGTTTTATCTGATAGTGGAAGTTCTCGAAAGCCTAGTTGATTATTGAAATACTAATTTTTTTTTGACAGATTACTGTATTTTGGATGACTGTAAATGCGTATTATGGCATGAATAAGTGGTAATATAAGAAAATGACTTTCCCTCTTTATTGTCTTTATTAATCGTACAATAACGTTCTGTTTACAAATATCTTTTTCAAACTCATTGTATAACTATGCAGTTTTTTGTTGTTTTCTATGACATTAAAATATAAGTGTCTGTTAAACGATATTTTGAATTTATATCTAACTATCAATATTTCCCGGTTTTAAATGGTTGTTTAAGATCAGTCCTTGATATAAACTATGAAAAATCAATAACCCCTAGAGAACTTCTTTAGCAATAATAATTATGTGCTCGCTACTGGCTAACTTCGAGATGTAATGCCAGGAGTCCTAGTGCTTAGCTGTGACCAATGAAGTTCAACTATATCAGGTGTGAGACATTTATCTACGAAAGAGAATGGTAGGTAGTCGCTCAATATTTCGAACTGATTGAGATTAGACATGTAAACCACTGGATGCCGGCTCAGTAGTTTGGAAGTTAAGGGTTTGTCGTAAGATCCTGGGCTCGATCTTCGGCAGGGTCGTTAATTCACACTCCTAAATAATCCCATACTAAAACAAAATGGCCTAGTACATTTCCCTATTTTTTAATGGCTGTCTACATAACATGATGCGATCGATAGAAACTCAACAATCTCCAAAATCCTCTTATGGTAATATAAATATATATGCCCCCGAATGCCCTGATACTACCAAAGGTGAGAAGAGTCCGTTCTCCCTCTCGAAATACTCTCACATGGCCAGCGAATATATAGCCTCTGCCAGCGAAGTCCGAATCACTACCTTCTCGTGGTATTACTGTTGTTTACGAAATTGAGAGGACGAAAAGTGAATGTCCGACTCTTTATCCGGGTTGGTGGACACGGAAAGTTCACCTAGAGGAGTTGGGAAACCCTGATTCCAAACCAATGGTGCACATGTGCTCCAGTATCCTGAAGGAACGAATGACGTATGAACCAATCGTTGGTCACCGGCCACCATGGGACTGCATCTACTCACGATGCTCCACTGCCTTGTGGATCAGACATTTAGGTCAAAGGTTTCGGGTGTGGCCCCCTAAGCAAAACACCTGCTTCAGTTTGGGCACTCGGGCAGTATCACAACCCTCACACAAATTAAATATGATTTGTGTGGCGTATATATATCTGGTAGATAGATGGCGAGAGAGAGAAAGGAAAAGAGTAAAAGGAAGATTTCCATTAAAATCTCCAGTTTACTCATCGATCAAATAAAAAAAACGTAGTAGTATTGATATTTCGTTATTTAAATACTTTATGCTTGATGATAGCATTTTCATTGAATAATATATTTAATACATGAATTTCTATTTAATTCCAACTCGTAACTTCAAAGAACAAATAAAAAGGGAAATGAATCAACCATCGTAGTTATTTTACTTGACTTTGATAGTACTTAATTATAAGTAGTTAAAAGAAATTTCTTAAAATATTTACACAGTAAATTAGTGCCTTGATGGTTTGTTTGTCCAGATAGTATTTTTTTTCAAATGATTGTGTAAATAAATTCAGCCGAACACTATATTTTACATCAATAAACAAATTTTGTAATTTGTGTGGATGTAAGACGATTTTTCGAAATGAAAGTTAGATAGACTCGAACAAAGGACGTTCAGCCTCACACGCAAGCGGTTAACCTCTACACTACTGAGTCAGGATTCAGTAGTTCTATTGCTCGACCATCTTCCATTGTCTTCAGTGGATAACTGCCCCACACTCGACACGGTCGAACCCCACTGGTCATGGCTTTTCACTAGGACTTCGAGGTTTGTTGATATTGTTGAGTTTCATTGAGATCATGAACCAATCAATGTTAGATCACCATTCAGAACCGTTGGAAACCTGAAATTTAGACATTAATAATGTCGGATCTTGACTCAGTGGTGTAGAGGTTAAGAGCTTGCGCGAAACCGAAAATAATTGGGCCGATTTCCGTGAACGGGATCGTGAATGCTCGCTACCGAGGAGTCCAATATTAGGACGAAACGGCTGTTCAGTGATCCCAGGTCTCCAATGATGGTCTAACATTGATCGGTCCATTATTTCAATGGAACTCCATAATCGCCACAGCTCTATATTGCTAATTCATTTCTCATTTAAAAACGAATACTCCTATTTAATGAAATTCCAATGAACACCTTAGAATTGAAGTGCTATAAAAAGACTACATAATAACTATGAAATCGATTATCTTGATCGGGAGTTGGTAGTAAAGAACATTGATGAGATAGTTAAGTAACTATTTAAGCATTAAATAAACTTAATAAATAACTTCTAAGACCCGGTGAGATAACACTTTAAACAGGTTATTTGCTTCATTATTTAAAATATTTATTGAGGATGACATTCCTACTTGTCTAACTTGATTAGTTCCTCTGTACATAAGTTTTGTGTGGATGAGAAATGTCTCGTTTTGAATAGCATCTTTCAGGATATCTAGATAAACTATTGCTTATTGGTACGTAGTTGATAAAAATTAGCAATCTTGTTAAATGTTGAGATTTGAGTCAACAGAAATCCATGAATTTAAATCTTTATGAAAGTACGACCCATATGTCACATTTCCTGCTGTCCATATGCTTCTTTAATTGATGGATATCAATGCTTTACAAGGTTTGATGACCATATCATTTGTGTAATCCATTAGATAGTCTGCAGATATTTCCTTTAACTGATTACCTTGCTTGTAAATTTGATTGAAAGTGAATAAAAGATATATAGGCTTCACAATGTTTATACAGAGCTCCGAGTTACTAAATTTAGTTTTAATTGAGTACTTCATAAGGATTGGTTAAAATTGAAGATTTTTGTTTTTGTTTTAAACTTACATCGATTGGTAAACCATTTGAAAGGGAAGGATTAGAAAGTTCTTTCTGATTTTATAAATCTTTTATGGGAAGTAATCGTTTACTACTGTTGATGAGTCTTAGTCTAAAACAAAACAACTTCCCGTGATATCTATTTTTCGATGACTTTTCATTTGATATCAGGTATTCATGAAAACTATCTCTTCTAATTATTATCTTTATATATCTCACCAATTAATTTACTCAATGAATTATGCAATCATTTACTCTTTGGTGACATAGTTTTGCTTTTTTCTATTACTAATAATTTACAATGTTACCGTATTATCGCTTACAATACAATACAAATGGTCACAAGCTTTTTCAACAGATATTATATTCTTATTATAGTAGAGATCTGAATTTTATTATTAATTATAGGGGAGCAATTCGTGTGTTTGAAATAATGTGTAGTGACCTCCTTTTCTCGACGAGAACGCGATTGGTATAATGGAAACAATTATTATTATAACCAATTGTACCAGTGATTGTTTTACTGTACTCGTTGTTGTTTAACCGTATCAAAATCACTTTTCTTCCGGTCGCCCGCCTTGTCCGTTCGAACCTTCTTACGCTCTAACCTTATTGCCTGTACTCGTTGGCATGTCTTGGTATTCTTTCGATACCATGAGATAGCCAATAAATATACTTTATCTGGACTAATTAAAGCCTTCTGGTTTGCGAGTTATCAAAAGAACCGAGTCGTTTTCGGGCGCGTAATCTTATTGTAGTGGTGATCATGGTCAATCGAGACTCGACGCCATCTACAAATGCGTGATCACTTTGGGATACCAATAGTGAAGAAATACAAACCCTTACGGCTGATAATAAATATCTGATCTTTCAAAAAAGTTGGCGACTATAATGACTCCTAGTGGGTAACGCTCTGCAGTTTGTAGCGATGGTACATAGCCAAAGTTTCAGTGAATACATCAACATCGACGTTATTATATACAACTGACAAGCACCGAATCGGACGAAAATGGTGTCCTAAGCACTATTTAAAACATGTTATAGGTTTCTTCTCTCTTAATATATTTTAATTATTTGTTAAACAGATAAGGGTTACGGACAGAAGATTAATTTCAGATAGTTAAAAACAGTAGTAACAAATATTGCTTTGTGAATCTAAGTTCTATGTATTCTAAGCGGCTAACAGTAGAATCAAGGATGTGAGATCAATTATGTTTGGGACTTATCAGCTGGATGAAACTCTCAAAAGAGATTGGTCAGTTATGCTCCTGAATATCAATAACAGAAAAATGGAAAACAAACAGTTTGGAATAACCCATCTAAGTAAAAAGCATTTAAATGACAGTCTTAATGCACTCTGTTTTACACTTTACATTTCCAATACGAACGTGAACTTTGCAAAAATATAAAAAGTTATTTGTAAATTACGCAAAATATTGAATTTTAACGAATGTACTTTATAAATAGCTTTTATATATAAAGTCTCAAGTATATACAGAGTAAATGCTTTTGCATAAACAATCGTAGTGTATTCAAAACTTTCTGTTGTTCAGGATTGAAAAAATGAATTTATTAGTATTCAGTATACTAATAACTTGTTTACTGAACAGCGTTTATAGTGGATACAATGGATATACTAATGGAATTAGTGCAGTTACCAGTCGTCCTGGTGGAGGTGAAAGTCATGAAAATTCTGTAGATGTTTATAATAAATATTACGATAGTAAGAAATATAGTTATGGTACTGAATACACAAGCGATGATTCCAACAAGTACACTTACGGCAAAAACTATGACAAATATAGTTATGACAAGTATAGCTATGATAAATATGGTCATGAGAAGGGGAACGAGAAGTATGCTTACGGCAAAAACTATGAAAAAGGCTACGATAAATATGCTTATGACAAGTACGGTTATGGCAAATATGGTTACGACAAATATGGTTATGACAAATACGGATATGACAAATATGGTTATGATAAGTATGGATATGACAAATATGGATATGGTAAGTATAGCTATGATAAATACGGGTATGACAAGTATGGTTACGAGAAGTATGGATATGATAAATATGGTTACGAAAAGGGTTATGACAAGTATGGTTCAGACAAATATGGCTACGAAAAGGGTTATGACAAGTATGGTTCAGACAAATATGGCTACGAAAAGGGTTATGACAAGTATGGTTCAGACAAATATGGCTACGAAAAGGGTAATGACAAGTATGGTTCAGACAAATATGGCTACGAAAAGGGTTATGACAAGTATGGTTCAGACAAATATGGCTACGAAAAGGGTTATGACAAGTATGGTTCAGACAAATATGGCTACGAAAAGGGTTATGACAAGTATGGTTCAGACAAATATGGCTACGAAAAGGGTTATGACAAGTATGGTTCAGACAAGTACGGATATGATAAATATGGTTACGGGAAGTATGGATATGACAAATATGGCTACGAGAAGTACGGCTATGATAAATATGGTTACGACAAATACGGATACGACAAATATGGTTACGACAAGTATGGCTACGACAAATATGGTTATGAAAAGGGTTACGACAAGTATGGATACGACAAATATGGTTACGAGAAGTATGGCTATGATAAATATGGTAACGAAAAATACGGATACGACAAGTACGGGGATGACAAGCATGGTCATGGAAAAGAATATGAGAATTATGGTTACACCAAAGAATATAGCAAGAATTATAAGGATTACTATAAGAAATATGACAAATACGATTATGGTAGTAGATATGAAAAATACAGTTATAGTAAAGACCACGATAAGCATGATCATGATGAACATGACCATCATGACGACCACCACCACCACCATCATCATCATGAGCATGACCATCATCATCATCATGAACATGATCACAAAAATGGCAAAGGGTACTAACTACAGTGAATATCTTCTTCCTAACATATACAAAAGCTAGATTCACTAATCGCAATAAACCGTCTTTTTTATTGCCTTTTTAATAGTCAATTGGTGAATCACATAGACAGTGGAAAAAGTCACTTCTAGTGTGATATTAAAAAAATTAGTTTTTATTTCCACTAAGTTAATAAAAATTACAAATATTCCAACGATTGTAAACATTAGTTTTATTTGTTAAGCTACATTGTATTACGCATGTGAAGAGGAAAATTGTAACTGATGGATAAAAATTTATAAGAGCACAATGCTGAGGAAAGAAAAGTTGATATTACTGTTATACGAGTAGCATTGGAATGGTAATTATATTTATTATAGAGCGATTATAGATAATATACTTGTAGTTTAATTTGAAGAGTATTATACGATTGGCATCTATTTTATTTAGATTAACTTGTTCAGTGGATCTGAAATATCTTTATAGAAAAATTATGATTTTAAAATAAAATATATGCGTGTATATGTCTTAAATCAGAACTTTGGGAAGGATTTTGATGGATTTACAATGTAAATTACGTATGCTCGTACATTTGAATACCCAATAGTGATACTGAGGTCGAAAACTGAACTAACTTTTTGGAACCTAGGATGCTAATTCACTCTGGCATTGGAATCCTCGTCGAAGCCCATCCACGACCCCGCATCCGGGAATTGGACCCAAAACCATCAGTCTCACACGCTAACGCCTAACCCCTAGAACTTTCAGTCAGCACTTAACAGTGCTAATGTCTAGTTCCAATCAATTCACAATACTGCACAACTGATACCCATTACCCGCAATGGATGTCTGTGCAAATTTTACAAACTCCATAATACAAATTTTTTTAGTTAACAATATATTTGACAGAGTTGATATTACTAAAAAATAAACGAAGGTTCTAGGATCCGAGCACTATTAAGGTCGTGAGCGCATACTGTTGAGGAGCTCCACACTAGGATGAAATCCTTTTCCGGTTCTCAACAGTCGTTTAGCTAATATCAGTTCGAAGTGTAAGACTATGGGTCAGAATATACATGATTTGATCCAAAATTTTACTGAATCGGTGTGATTTTCACTCATATTCCTCATACAGGTAGTTTTGCCATAGTACTGCCTTCTCAATTTAATGATATTTTTCAGTGGGAACGAATCTTTGGCATTTGGAAGTTTTTCATTTAGTTAACTTAAAATCATTAGCAGACATCTTTCATAGAACGATTATGTGACAGTCATAATTGGTCAGCCTTAACTTCAAATATGTTATGTCTAAACTGCTATCACGATATTTTCAAGTAGGCTAACAAGTGGACAAAATAGCTGGTTAAGTTGACATATGAATTTTTGTTGAATGCAACTTACGAGTAGTTTGACACAACTCACAGTTCTCAGATGTTCGTAGAACATTTGGTATGTGGTAAGCGGTGCAGTCTAGAAAGCGCGTTCTGTTCCCTATTGGATTCGTCACCACCATCCCACTATTAATGCACATATTGAGATAGGAATCCAAAGACTTTTACTTCTAATGAAAACGAATTATCCAGTTATATAAAATATATTTTACTGGTAACAATAATACATCTATTCTAAATAACTTATGACAAAATAGCTGTACCGAGACAATCCATGAAGGATCCGCATTTAGTAATAAAGACTGATCAAAATTCGGTCCTAATTATCAACAATGGGGTAAACCACACGCTAACTAATAGTAATATGAGGTATTAGTAATGGTTCATATATTTCCGTTGTCAAAGTTCAGTAATTCAGTTGATCAGTCTCTGTTGACAAATTCATATCCTCAGGGAATCGTCTCGATGTAGTTCCTATTCTCTTCTAATTGACGGACCTCGAATAGGATGAAACATGTGTCCTGGACCGGACTCCTACATACAAACCAAACATCCTAAGAAGTTGTGACTAAAGGTCCAGGATGCATATAAACCAAAGACCAACTAACTGCAGTCCTGTATATCAACAATAGGAAATCACAAACCCTTACTAATCTACAGATGGTTTATAGTCATAAATGTTATCAAATGAAGAACCAACAGGAACTAGGGAACACTAGACAGAACGTAGTTAGCTGCCAGTAACCACGACTCCATGCAGAGTCGAACTTAGTAGTACCTTACTCTTTGAACCACACTGGGATTTAATGGTTCATATCTATAACTTCAGTCAACTTAAGATACAGAGAAACGACTACATAGTGACCTTAGTAATAGTTGAAATTTGATAAGTGACTTCAAAATATCCTTACGATAGGTTTAGCGAACAAATGAGGACTGATAGAGTCCAATTTCCTTATGTTGGTACTGAGGTCTGTCACAGGGTAGTTTTGGATTTGTGTTGACTAAAACCTTCCTGACAGCAGTTAATAAAAGATCTCTACAACAGAGTGAAATCATATTATAATTCTTGACGTTTTTTAGGGAGAAATCTTCACGACGTAATTTCTGTTTGTTCGAAATATGATGATCTCTGTATCTCCTCATCATAATACAATAAATCATCGAGGATTTCGAGTTTTTCTTATTCTATAAGAAAGAATCTAATGAGAAGCTGATCAGAACGAACGATGTATTCAAGTCGTTCCACGGGCCGAGCAAGCATCTCCCACCTTTTTTTGTAAAAAATGACACTAAGGGGCTGACATTATTTTGATACATGTCTAGGTTTATTAAGATGTTCTGAAGTACAAACTATATGATTTCACAGCATATCACGAGATCCTCAAGGAGTTAAATCTTTCAATAAAGATAAAATAGGAACGAGAAGACATTACCTTGTCTACATTTATCACACATCGATTATAGAGACAAATCCTATTTATGAATACTAGAAGACATTTTATAAATCTTAAAATGAGTATGTTAATATGGTTGCACATTGTAATTCATACCACACATAATTCCGAAATATAAGATAACGGTGATTGCCGAACACAAGAGTATACTTCAAATATAACATTGCAACCCACTTGGAAAACGAAGTTCACTATGAAAGACATAGTTTCATAGAATATTTCCACTGTATAACAATGCTAAAAAGTTTTTTTTAGTTTATATACCAAATTAGTGATATGTCAATTATGTTAAATGGACACCCAATATATTGGAAAGTAATTGAATCTAAAATCATGCATATCATAGCTGAAATTAATACTAGAAGATAATAAACAGACAGCATGAACTGGGAGACTAGTCCCTTGTTTCAATTGCTACACTTTAAAAACGTGCGGCGAGTAGAGTAACTACTAACAAGAAAGGAAGTATGAAAAGGTTAGTTACTGATCACGGGTACTCATATCACTTAAATCACTGGAACTATGTTGCATATGGTAACCAACCACTGATTTAAACTATCTAGTGTATCGACAACCTACGGCCTTATATTACCAAATATCCCATGATTAGTAAGTGTACTACTATTAGTTGTAACATTAAAGATCCAAGTGAAAAATATATTTCGTTTAAAACAAAATAGACACTTTTCGTATAATTAATCCTTCTCAGACATCCTTACGAGATGGGCATCGATTTCCTCGACCGTTAATTTCCTAAAATTAAGATAAAAATACGGGTTAGTGACAAATATACAGGTTGACAATTCGTTCTAAAAAGCAAGCTACTTAATAAGCGACAGTAATTCAGAAATAAACTAGGTACTCAGAATCGCTAACCATAAAGACGAAGAATCAACACAATAAACCAGAATACTCAAAAGAGCTGGAGTTTAAATTACAACACTTAAAGCATATAAAAAGTAAACTAACAAGATAAACACGAAGTGAGCAAACAGTTGAGAATAGGCGCAGAGTAATAAGGTATCCATAATTTAGAGGAATAACAAAAAAAGAGATGTATCGATCGATAATGGTTTCTAAATTAGTTAGAGTATCTAACCTCACCAATCCCTATTACCAAACTAACAAAAAAATCTCTAAAGTAGGATAGCCGTTAAACACTCTTGAATAACAAAAAATCGTATCTCATGAGTATTTCTGTACAAAATGTCTGTGTAGTCAATATACACAGCGTGGCTTAATGACCTTCTGAGATAAATCTGAGAAAATAGCAATCTTTCAATGATTTTCTCTGAAAACTGAAATCTCATTAGGATGAATTAAAGGAACTTTAAAGTGAAGTCGCTTAGTATTTTGAAAATCATTCTTGCAAAAGTCTTAGTTCATGTGACAACTTTTGTAGTAAGCAACCATAATTTGTAGACGAGGGTTCCAGAAAATAATGGGACTTCTGATCAGACTGTTTCTTTTCTTAGGCAATTAGCAGGTGTATGGGGTGGGGGACCAGTTAAGCTGTCCCTCAGAGTGTTTCACCCATCGCTCCGAACATCTGTGTTGAGAGTGGGTCATGGTCATACGTTTCTTGAATATCCTACCACTACTTTCTAATGGCTGCTTCTTTGATACCTTGTAAGTCGTCCACTATTACCTATCACGTCTGCTTTCGTCACCCACCACTACTTACGACCATTGAGTAGACCTTATGTCAGTCTATGTCTAGGTTGTCTTTGGGTCTTGTTGTTATAATTTCTCTTATTACGACCCAGCTATTCCTATTGCTTAGTAATCCTGAACACCAATTAACTCAACAAGTCCCCAAATCAGAACACAGTTGAACAGGATAGAAATTATATTTTAAATAACAAGGGTAGATGGAAGTGAGAATCGCAATAAGAAAAACGTTAGTATATTTATAATTTTTCTACTCTTTGTGTTCTACCAAATTCTAATCTTCTGAATTCCTCATGTCTTTATCTTTTTCTCTTTCCAAATTTATTTCACTGTACTACACTCCTTCAATAATTTCTTCAAACCCTAATCTTTTGGATTTCTGATTATACTCCTACTACTTCTACCACTATGGGATTTGAATCGACAACTGCATCTCTGTGCTAATGTGGTATGGCAACTCGAACTGATGTACGTACGTACGAAGTTCTACGTTGTGGCTGACTG